AAACATATCACAATGAAACTGCAGAACACCAAAATCAAAGCGAGATCTCAACAGCAACCAGGCAGAAATGAAAATTACCTACAAAGGCAATTATACTAATAGCAGACTTCTTAACAGCAACAATAGAAGATAGATGACAAATAGCTTTGAAACATTGAGAAAAAATAATTATTGACTTAAAATTCCCCTAGTAAGCTAAACTATATCAAATAATGAGGATAAGGAACTGGAAATATAGCTTAGTTGTAGAGGGCTTGCCTAGCGTATGTGAGGCCCTGGATTTGAACCCTGACATCAAAAAAATAAAAATAAAAAATAAAAACTGAGGATAACATGTATTTTTGTTGAAGCTTGCTGTATAGTGAACAGACATTCACTGAAAAACTTACTAAAGAATATACTTTAGGGGCTGGGGTTGTGGCTCAGTGATAGAACACTTGCCTAGATGTGTGAGGCACTGGGTTTGATTCTCAGCACCACACAAAAATAAATGAATAAAATAAAGGTCCACCAACATCTAAAAATATTTAAAAAAAAAAAAGAATATACTTTAGGAGAAAGGAATGAATATAAGTTGCAATGGTGGGCTGGGGTCATAGCTCAGTTGCAGAGTGCTTGCCTAGCACGAGTGAGGCTGGGGTTTGATCCTCAGTACCACAAAAAAATAAATAAATAAAATAAAATAAAGGTTAAAAATGTACATAATATTTTTTTAAAAAAAGACACAATGGTAAATGGTAAAGAAGAAAAAAGGTAAAGTTGTGAGCACACATAATCAAGTACTGAGCATAAAAAGTAGCATCAATACTAAAGACTAATTTGAGAGATAAAAAGGTAGAAATGAAATACTGGGCAACAAGAACATACAAAGAAGGAAAGTGATCATCAAAAAGTCATTTCAGGACTTTGGTTGTAGCTCAGTGGTAGATCTAGCACTTGCCTATTTTTATTTTTAAAAAATAAAAGTAGTGTGTCTATCTACAACTAAAAAAAAAAAGAAAACTTGTTTGTTTGTTTGTTTGTTTTAAAAGTCATTTAAGGGCTGGGGTTATGGCTCAGTGGTATAGTGCTTGCCTATAGTGTGAGGCACTGGGTTCAATTCTCATCACCACATATAAATAAATAAAACAAAGGTCTGTCAACAACCAGAAAAATATTTAAAGAGAGACATTTTTTATCCCTTTGACAAAAAAGTCATTAAATTATTTGAGGGGATGGGCATGCTAATATTTTAATTATTCCACCTTTTATTTATATATTATTTCATCACTTTGTATTCCATAATTACATACAATTTATCAATCTACAATAAAATTAAATTTTTTAAATGCTGAAATAAAAAGAAAGACCTGAATAAATGAAAAAACAGCCCATGTCCAAGAATAATAATACTTAATATTGTTAAGAACACAATACCCCAAAAATTGATCTGGGCATTCAATGCTGTTTCTTCAAATTCCCAACTATACCTGAAGCCTTTCAACAAGGTTCCTAAGGGAGACACAAAACAATCCTTATGAAGAATTACAAAATCCTATTATTAAATTTACCATAATCAATTCTTACTACAAAGTTATAGTAATCGAGCAGGTGGCTATAGCCATGGAATAAATTTGAAGTTTCATTAATTAAACACATACACTTATAAGTACATTGATTTTGACAAAGGAGCCAAGGGGGAAGAAAAATCTTTTCAAAAAATGATGCTGAGAAAATTGGATATCAAAACGTAAAAGGATAAAGTTGGACCCCTAACTCAAATCATACACACAGTGCTCCCCAAAAAAACTCAAAATAGATCACATACCTAAATTAAGTATAAGAAATATTAATTTTCATGATCTTGGATTAAGCAAAGATTTCTTAAACTTTATATCAAAAGTACAACCATGAAGAGAAAATTAGATGAACTGTACCTGATCAAATTCAGTGTATTTTATTCTTCAAACAACAACATGAAAATACAAGTCCCTAAATAGGAGAAACCACCCCCGCCACAACTTAACATTGTATTTTTAGCACCCAGAACTGTGAGATAATAATTTTTTTGTGTGTATGGCACTGGCAATTGAACCCATGGCCTCATGAATGTTGGGAAAGAACTATATCACTGAAAATAAATTCATATTGCTTAAAAAAAGAAGAATGGAAGAGGTCATCAAAATTAAGTGTCCTAAGGTCTTTGCATTGTTCAGAGGGAAGGTAGGAAAAAACCCATCAGGTTTGAACTGCTAAGTCAAATATGTACATTAAAATTATAAAGGTAACCATGAAGAATAAAATAGAATACATAACTGCCAAACCAGCATGGGATTTGGCAGAAGAAGAATCAATCCAAAAGAGGCAATCAATCCAAAAGAGGCAGCAAAGGAGTAGAAATGTATCACCCAGGAGGCAGGATAAACAGAAGGCACGATATAAGATGATAGAAATAAATCCAAGTGTATCAGCAATCACAATAAATATAAACTCACTAAACACTCAAACAATTATCAAATGGTTATAAAATCAAATCTAACCACAGACTATTTACAACAGACATACCTGAAACATTAGCAGACAAAAATAAAATCTTTAAAGTCAAAGATGGAAAAAGATGTTCTGGGCAAATACTGAACAAAAAAAATAGACTTAAGAGAAAAAGCATTATTAGAGATAATAGGGTGGCGTCTCTGGTGCTTTAAATCTCTTTCCTCTTCCGTAAAGCAGAGATTCTAAGCCATTCCTCCAGGAGAAATATATCAAGTATATGTGATGTTAGATAATGTAAAGTGGGAGGAGGAGAAAAGAAGAGGAGCAGAAGGAGGAGGAAAGGGAATCGGAAATGTTGCGGGGTGGGGGGGCAGGGGGTGGTTAAATTAAAATTTTAGAACATATGGGAAAAGATCTGAAAGAAGTGAGGAAGTGATCCAGGGCAGTGTCTGGGAAGGAGGCACCCAGGCAGAGGGAGCCCCAGATGCAAAGGCCCTAAGTCTAGAGCACAGTGAGGTGTCCAGGAACAGCAGGGGGTCTAGTGCAGCTGCAGTGGAAGAGGGACCGGTGTTTGGAGAGGAACTTGGAGGCAGCACTGGACAAATCATGCAGGGCCTTATAACTCGTGGTAAAGTCCTTGGTGGTTACTCTGAGCAAGGGTGAGGGTTTTGAGCAGATTTGCAAATGAATGTAGGAATCTGTTTAAATGATCACCCTGTCCACACTGATGAGAATGAAGTGAAGCTAGGGCAGGTTCCAGGAGGCCAACTAGAAGGCATTGTAAGAGCCCAGGCAAAAGGACATGGTAACTTGCAGCAGAAGTGGTAAAGGGTGGCTGGATCCGGGATACATTTTGACATTTTGAAGGTGGGACCCAGAGGCTTTGCTGAGGGATTAGATAGGGGATATGAGAGAGGAAAAAAAAACAGATTGACTTCATGGGTTGGGGGTGTTGCACGGCTGCAGAGGACATACTTAGCATGTCTGGGGGCCTGGGTTCCATCCCAGCACACATACACACACACACACACACAAAAAAAAAAAAAAAAAGTAAGGAAAGCACTGACTTTGAACTTTCAGACCCAAGTTCCTGAAAGAACAAAGTTGATGCTATCTGAAAAGGAGAAGATGGTAGGTGGAGCGCCAATCCATGGAGGAGGGAAAGGGGGTGTCAGCAGTTTACTTTTGGGCATCTCCAGTTTGAGATCTGTACTGGACATCCAAGTGAGATTTCAATACACGGCTTGATAAATGTGCCTGGTGTTCCTGGGAAGATTGGGGCTGGGGTTGTGTATCCAGAGGAGTCATCAGGCTCTCAGTAATATTCAAAGCCATGAGCCTAGATGAGATCACCCAAGGAGTGGGTGTAGAAGCAGTCCAGGAGCCCTGGAAAACTCCAATGTTGAAATCCTACAGTCTTAGAGGCATCCAGCACACAGGTGAGATTAAGCAGCCAGGGGGAGAATCTTGAGGGTCTGGTGTGTCCAAAGTCAAGGAGAAAAAAAAAAAAATGTTTCAAGAAGGAGAGTTAGCAACTGGGTAAGATGTTAACACCAGAACTGAGCATTAACTAGTGGGTTTAGCAACATAGGTTGGTGTGATGTGAAAAGACAGCTGTGCCAATAAGATTCCCTGATTCAGGAAATGTAACAAAGGAATACTGAGAGACCGCTGTGGGGAACAATGGGAGTCCGTGTGGACGGTCTTCTGCATCACTTTTTGCGTTGCTTTTTCCCCCAGCAAACAGCAAAAATAGCTAACCTTTATTGAGTGCTGGCCATGTGCCAAGAACACTATTATGATGCCTATTTTTAAATAGGGAAAGTGGGGCTCAAACAAAGTCAAGTTACTAGCCCCAGGTCACTCAGCTGGTAAGTAGCTGAGCTGGAATTCAAGACCATCTCCAGATTTAATGACTAGACTGCAGCTGTCTCTGCTTAATTAAAGAGAAAGCCTACACTTAGGGATGAAACTCACACGTACAAAATATCAATTTTTGGACTGGTACCTTGTGTTTGAATACAGTTTTCCGCTGAACTCACACAAATCTCTTGAGAGATAACTACCACTACTGTTGTCATTTTAAAGATGAGAAAAGAGAGGCATTGAGAAGTAAGATATCTCACTGGGGGTCCCAAGGGATGGAAGTGGTAGGGGCAGAACTCAGGCCCAGATCGCCTGGTAGGCTGCAGCTTGGCCCATGTCCTATCTGTACAAATCAATCCCACTCTTTGCATGGGGGTGGGCTGGAAGCAGTCAGGCCTGGAGAGGGCCAGAGACCCTCAGAGAAGGAGTGTTGTCCTTCCTTACAAGCTCATAACTTTGAGAATTCTTGGCAGGTTCCGCAGATGCGACTAAGACCCCCCAGTCTGAGTAGCTCCGGGAGACTCAAGGCGGGTTTCCCAGTTTCACCAGAACCAGGCCTGACCTCTCCCCATGGCCAGACCTCTGGTTTCAAGGCCTAGGATGAATATGGCCCGGAACACCCCTCTCCTCCCTTCCGTCCAGGTGCACCGGCTTTTCCCTACCTGTCCAGTGGTGAGGGAACGGCTGTAGCCAGGGATGGAGCTCCGGGGGTGAATCCGGGGTGGGACACAGCAGCTGGAAAAGGTCAAAATGTCAATGTCAGAATGGGGGTCTGCTAAGGGAAATGAAGGCAATGGGACTTCTGACCAGGTTCTGTTCCTCAGAAACCTCCAGAGATCCCCTAGGAGACACTGGGTAAAGAGACTCCCCCCCAAAAGGCACTCAGACAGGAACTATAACCAAATCCTTCCCCTTCATATGGGGCAGAGCAAGATACCCCACTTGAACCCTTTGCAGGGCTGCCCAACAGGAACCCACTCTACACACAACTGCAGAAAGCCAGCATCAGCTTCCTGACACCCACTGCCAGCCCTCCCTGTCCTTACTTGATCCGGGCCTGGTCCACGCTGGAGGAACGTCGGGTGGCGAAGCGCCGGGCAACTGCTTTGGGAGATGTCTTGGGGCTGCCGTCGGAGTCGCCGCTCTCCTCATCCCCCATGGCTTTGATGTAGCTGCCGCTCCGCATCCTACGGCAGGGGATCTCCCCATCCTTGCCACCCGTGGGGTAACCCCCCCAGTCATCTTGCGGCACCTGCAGGGACAAGGGCCTCTGTCTCTCAGACATGTCCCTTGTCAATCTAGGGGCCAGGATCCTCTACCCCTACTGCTAGTGGGGGGGCTCCCTGGCTGGGGCAGACCATGCCCACGAGCAGTCAGAGGAGGAACAAGAAGGGAGGTCTCAGATCGTCGGCCCCTCCCTTGAGGGAGAGACTACTTCATCCTCCCAGGACCTCCTGCCACTTAACTGAGGGCCACTTAGAGAGTCTGGGGTGTAATCTGCCAGGTGCTGACAGGCTGAATGAAGATCAGAAGCCCAAGTGACCTTTGTCAATCCCGCTCCCTGCAGTGAAGTATCCACTGACCTCAGGCACCTTCTATCCTTCTTCTTCCATCCTCTGAACCAGCTCGCCTGCTGCATCCTCTGACTCTGCTCGACCCCGTGAGGAGCCAAAGAGGATGTTATGCAGAGGACACATCAGATTTGTGTTCAGAGGGAGCCCTCGACAGCCCAGACGGAGGCTGCAGGGTGGAGGACCAGGAGCAGGGCAGGGGCTCAAGTGGCAGGTGGGAGACCAATTAGGAGGCTGAGGCTGTTATCCAGGCAAGAGATGATGAGGCCTAAATTAAGACAGTGACAATGAGGGGGAAGAGGAGATGCAGATGAGAGGTGTTAAGGAGCATCAGTGAGCCTGATTAGCCGTGGGGGGAAAAGGAGGCAGGGAGGAGTTAAGAATGACTGCCAGGCTGATGGCTGAGGACCTGGGGGGTGGGGTGCAGTTGCTCACTGAGCCACAGAACCCCGGAGCAATAGGCTTGGGGAGAGGTGATAGGTTTGGGGTTGAGCACCTTGAGTTTGTCCCAGAACTGTTAAGGAGGTGGTTGGATGTTTGGCCTGGGGTTCAGCAGGAGACTGGAGCTAGAGGTAGACCTGTGGGAGTCATGGTGGCAGCTGGATCCATAGGAAAGAAGGAGACAACCCAGGGGATATAGGAAGAGAGAGCTAAGAGCGATCCACTGACATTTAAAAGGGGGCTGTGAAGAACAGAAGAGGAGCCTGTGGAGTCACCTGAGAAGGAGTGGGCAGGAGGGTGGGAGGGAAGTCAGGAGAATGCCATGTCATAGAAACAGGAGACATCTCGAGAATAAAAGAAGTTGATTATGTCAAATGCCACAGTGCGTTCAGAGGTTAGTAACTCAGGCTTCGGAGTTGGAAGATCCATAAGCAAATTCTGACCCCCTGCTTGCTAGCTAGGTGAACTTGAGCAAAACCGATTAATCGCTAAGCATCAACCTGGCTTTCTTGTCGGGGAACTGCTAATGGAATTATGCCTACATCAAAGGGTTGTTGGGAAAGTTAAATAAACCTATACTGAGTGTCCTGGACACAGAGAGTGATCAATAAATCTTAACTTATAGGTATGGAAGGTACCCTTTGAAGGTAGCTCTCAGAAACCAGGTCCCTTCAGCGGTCAGAGGCTGTGAGGGGCAGAAGGAAAAGGAAATGAAGAGAGGAGACTCTAAGAACTCTGGTAGAAAGGGAAGCAAGAAGCACAAGGGGCAGTGAAATTGAGGAAAGATGTTTTTAGGGTGAAAGTGACTTTGAGCATGTTTTCAGGATGAAAAGACAGTAAAGATTTTCTTTTAGAAAGGGGACAGTTGAGGGATGGAGGAGGATGGGCTCAAGCCCTTGTAAAGGGATCAGCCTGAGCTAGGTGGTCCTGGCTTTTCCTCTGAGGGAGTCCACGAGGATCACCTACACTGCAAAGAATGTCATCTAAGTGAAGGCAAGGGGAGACGACAAGGGGAGCCAACAGGACGTAAAACACTTGTTGTAAAGAAGAGGCTGCAAAGGGCAAAGACAGGGCTCCAAGAGGGGACAAGACTCAGGAGAGTCTAGGGCTCAAGGGAGGGATAAGGACAGGGATCAGTATGAGAACTGGGGACCAGGGATGGAATGAGAGCCCAAGAAGGAACCCTCAAGGAAGAGCAGGACTCAGCAAGGGGTCAGGGCTGGGAAATGGGAATACAGAAAGGAGATGAGGCTCCTTAAAGGAACAAGGCTCAGAATGGAAAGAGAGGACCCAGAAAAGGGTTGAGGAAGGGCTGGTGTCTAGGGAGAGAAATGGGACTTGAACAAAAGGTCCAGGAGTCTGAAGAAGATACCCAGTCTGATGGAGCCAGCCCCCCTGCTTGTGCACCGGGGAGTGCCAGGCTGTCTGGGAGGCTCCTGCAGCTCCTTAGTTCTCACCTAAAGGAGCTCGGACTTCCCACTCCATGACACCCTGGAATCCCAGACCCTGAGGACCATTCCCTTTCCCCACGCTGTACAGAGGGGAGCAGCAGATAAGTCAGCAGATGGGCCAGCCAGGGCAGGCTCGGCCACACTGCAGGGCTCCCACTCCATAGCCACTGCAGAGTTCCTCGCTCCTCTGCAGGACACTGTGAGGTGCATGTTAAAAAGGAAGCCCCCAGGGAGGTCAGGGCAGCCCTGGAGAAGCAGCAGGGAGCAGCAAAATGGTGGCAGGCCTCCAGGGATGGCAAGGGCTCGGTTATGGGGGAGGAATAGTGGCTGTTCCCTCCCTGCATCCTTCAAAGTTCAGCTTAGAGCACCTTCCTACCCAGGAGGGGGCAATCCAAGGCCAACCCACAAGTCCGGAATCCCAGAAGTCCCTTTCTACTTCCACAATGGCCCTATTTTCTCCTCTGGGCTTTCAAGAGTTCCCCCGGGAGAACTGTAATGTGTGAACAACTTACCAGCAAGGCCAAAAACACCCAAAAGACACATGCAGGCTCACTTCTCCACACCTCTAAACAGCCTGTAGTCTCTTCCTGGAACACTTTTAATCTGCACTCAACTAACTCCAACTCCTCTGCTGACACTCCATTTAGGGGACATTCCTCCTAGAAGCTGTTTCAAGCCACCCCTGGCCACCATCACCAGGTAGGTGAGGGACTCCTGTGTCCCCATGGTGCCCAGGACTCTCTTCTGTCACAGCCAATCATACTCTATTCCAGCTGCTTCCTTGTCTACCCCTCCTAAACTGTGAGTTCTCACACGCAGTGTCTATGTCTTCAACTCTGTACCCATCTGAGCACAAAGTAAATGCTCAGGGAATGAATGAATGTGGATTGATCATCTATGAGGAATGTGGGTTTAGGAGATAACCCTAAGTCTGCTGGACCTCCAGAACTTTTATTGACTTTTCCTTCTAAAAGTACAGGAGAGCTCAAGAAAACAGACTGGGCTGGCAGAGGGTGCGATGAATGGTCCAGCAGAAGAGGTCAAAACTCTTAGGCTCGCCAGCAGAGGCCTCGGAGGTAGTAAAACAGGATGGGGAGAGCATGCCAATTATTGTCAGAACCTCCACTCCCAACACCACCTGGAATTAAATCAAGGCTCAGACTTCAGCATGTCCTCAGCCTAGGAATACTCACAAGACAGTGACCCAGAGCTCTTCCATACCCCGCCACCCTGCCCCCACCGGCTTTCCCACCACAGGTACCCAAGAATGACAAACCTCAGCAGAAGCATATTCTGGAAACTGGCCTTCACATTCAAACATCTGGACCACTCTTATTTGAGCAGTAAAGTTCAGGAGAAGGCTTTGGGCCAGGAGAATTGTTTTCCAACTGCCAACCTCCAAGCTAAAGGGCAGCTAGGGTCAGAGAGCTTCACGCTATGCACTGCCTTTTCTCAACCTCATTCTGCCTCCAATTTCATAAGATAGAGGTCAGCACACCTTGTCCAAAACAGTAGGTCAGTGAGAAGTCTTCCTGGCACTGATGTGCATCATCAGAAGAAGGGCCCCTGCACTGCACAAACTGGGGAACTAAAGCCCCAACAGGAGCTCAGGGTGACACAGTGAGGCAAGTGGCACCTCTCTGCATGCATGCCCTCCATCTGAGGGTCAGCTGGTTCCCATCCAACCCTTTCCCTGTTTCCTGGCTGACAAGACTGGTGAGGGCTGAGGACCCTGTTCCCCACCCCCACAAAGCCTCACCTGCAGATAGTGATAAGTCCTGGCTTTGGCCTTGGCCTCTGGACCCAGAAGCCCCTTGCCCGGCCCGGCCCCGGGGTATCCGTCCCTGCCCTGGCTGACCATCATGGTATGCCAGGCACTTCGCTTGACTGATTGTCCATCCAGTGACATGGACATGCCAGTGCAGGCAAGGCAGCGGCCTTCCGACCCGCCTGAGCGTCCCTTGAAGCTCAAGTCCCGGTAGGACCCATCTGGAGCCTCCAGGCAGAAGGGACCACCAGGCTCCCCAGGGGGTCTCCCACCCCCCAGGAAGCCACTATCACTGTCCAAGTTGTCATCGGAGCTCCACCAGCCGGCGGCCTTGGTCTGGTGCCTCCCATCCCCCTTGCGGTCCTTGCTCTTGCTCCTCTTGCCATGCCGGGACTGATGGTGGTGGTGATGGTGGTGGTGATGGTGGTGGTGCGAGGTGTGGGGGCCTCCAGAGCCTGGGCCAGGGTAGCTGTCTCCCCCAGAACCACCTCTTCCCTCGGCCTTAGGCCCATTATAGTCCCGCTTTCCAGGTGCCTCCAGAGAGTGGGACTTGGCAAAGAGCTTCTGCACAGAGTGAACCAGGTGCCGGATGCGGCTGGGACTCTCGCTTCGAGCCTCTGGGGCGGCGCCAGAACCTGGCCCTGGCCCAGGCCCAGCCCCTGCTGGACCTCGCTGGTATGGTAGCGTGTGGAAGCCATCTTGCTGAACGGGCAACTGCTTTTCAAACTGATCCAGGAGTGTGGGAGGCAGGCGGGGGGCACCCTTGCCCTGAGGGTGACCCACACAGTCTTCACAGGTGTCGAAGGGGCCCTGGCCGGGGTACATCCTGGGGAAGGTGCTGCTCCCCCCCCCTGCCCCAGCCCCCCCTGGCCCTCCCTCAGGGCCTACTGATGGCCCCTCACTCAGGCTCAGGGGACCTTCTGGAGAAAGGTGTCCCAGGCCAGCTCTTGGGGCACAGAAGCGGGGCTCGGTGGAGAAGGCCTCCCTGGAGCCCAGCAGGTATGGGGCCCTGGCAGCTGGGCCCACGTCCATATGCTGCTGGTCAGCAAAGCGGGCTGGGCGGGGATGGCTGCCTCGGTCGCCATGGTAACCCCTCATGGCCTCAGCAAAGGCTCTTCATAGTGTTGGGGGCCAGGCCCCAGGAACCTCCTGGGAAAATAGGGAGAAATGGGTTTCAAACCGAACAAGCTACTTCACCTAAAACCATCTTTCATTAGGCGGTCTTGTATTCCTTTAGGTATCAATTTATTGTGATTAATTGTACTACATTTCCACAAATGGGCTGAAAAGTCCTTAAAATAGTCACAACAGACAAAGACACAAGGACACAAAATAATCCCGTCATTCATCAAATGCTGCAAATTTGATATATAGTTATTCACAAGAGGAAATCCTCTCAGCCAAATGGGTTTTTAAATATCCTTAGGTTATCAAAAACAAAAGGAAATCCACAGCAAACACACCAAATAGTCAAGGAAACCAGTCATTAGGTGAATTAACTTTTAACATGCTGGGTTTAGGCAAACAGATCCAGAGCTATACACCTGTCCCAACCCTACTCCACAGCCTACTACCATAGGTGCCGGCCTCAGGGTCACAGCTCCCAGCCAGGTGACCAGAGAACACTGGACCCAAATCTACATATCTAGCACCATTTCACAGAAAAATCCCTCCCCTTCCTTCCACACCCAGTTCCTTCCATCTGGCTGCAGGCTCATTCCCCCACCCCCATCACTGAGACAGGAAGGAAAACCTGAGATGACTCCTCCTGTTTCCTCCACTGGGGCTGTGAGCTTATGCAGAAGCTGTGGCTGCTCCCACCCTCTATGAGCATGAAAGGCCTCTTCGGGGAAATATTCTGGGCTCCAAATATTCTCTAGTGAAATTTCCCCTTTTGTCATGTACCCCCTCCCACAGCTTCTTTCCACTGGGGAGGGGGTGGGGGAATCAAGGAGGGAGGAAAAGCCATAGAGCAGGGATGCTGGCTATACAGGTAGTATCTGAATCCTAAACTGGGATTGGAACCCAGGAGTTCCTCCTCCCAGGAACAGTGGGCTGGCAAGGCAGAGAGGTGATGAAGGAGAAGGTCTGGAACCAGTGTCCCTGGCCCCCATCCCAGGCTGCCAAGGCTACAGGACAGAGAGGTCAACTCTCAGCAAGAGCTGCCTCCAATCAGAACTCCAGGAGCTGCCAGGACAGGAGCTATGGCAGGAGGGGGTGACAGCAGGAAGGACAGGGACGAAGGAGCTGGCAGACGGAGCTCTCCCTCATCCCAGACCATGTCCTGGGCCATCTGCTGACTAGGAGGGGATGACAATCCAGAAGACTCCAGACAGCAGCACCTCTGAGACTCCATCTCCCTTCCTCCCATCACCACCTCCCCACACCCACCCTGTTTCAGGCTTCTTCCAAACTCTGCTCACAGTTAATCTCATACTACTTCCTAAACACTTCCTATGTACCAGGTACTGTGCATACCTAACACCCTAACCCCACTGACAGCCTATCATGCAGACATTATCCACACTTACCATGAGAAACTGGAGCTCAAAATAGTAAGGTTACACAAACTCAAATTATTCAGATTTGAGAACCTGAATCTAATCCCCTCTCCCAGAATTTCCTACCACTCACCATCCGGGGTATCCCATCCTTGATGTCAGGATCCCCACCACCAGGCAGAATCCTAGCTTCAGAAGGCTCAGGACCACTGGATCCTAACAGAAAAGAAAGAAGTGGTCAGCAAAAGGGAAAAGAGATTCTTCTGAAGTCCTCTGGTCTCTGGCCCTGACAGTTTCCCTTCCCAACCCCCAAAACCAAGACTGATTGGATCCCCCATGATGCAGAGCCTTCAGACCCCCAGGGAAATGAGGTTGGCTTCATTATGCAAATACATGCAAATGAGCTCACAGGTTGGACTACCTCCAACTGCAGGTGTCTGTGTGATCTGTCCATGGTGCTGAGCCACAGCATTTTCATTGCCCTTAAATATGGCTGCCTTCCACAAACATTTTGAGCAGCTACCATGAGTAAAACTCTGAATGAGACTGGTATAGAGGTAATTTAAATGTGATCCCTGTCCTCAAGGGGTCTATAGTTTAACAGGGAACAACCTTTCGCATGACAGAGTTATTTCAGGTCCCTATATTTTTACATGAGCTGTTCCCTCCTCCTAGAATTTCCTTTCACCTGCCCCAAACCTCCCAACCCCAGCTAACACTTACATTAAGCCCCACCTTCCCTTGAAGACTTTCTGTACTCTCATTCTGGGTTATGCCTCTCTACTGGGCTTTTATAACACCCAGGGTGGCCCCATGAAACAACTATCACACTGCACTGAAATTGTTGCCATTTCTTTCTCCTCCCCTACAGTATAGTCTTCTGTGGGGTAGGAACCAAGTCCTATTCATCTCTGGATCCCTAGAATCTAATCTAGGGCTTTGCTCAGACCTAATATTTAATAAACATATACTAAGTACATGAGCAAATGGCTGTGCTGGAGAGAGGTGCCAAAATATTAGGCTCGTTCAGATGAGAGCAAAACCATTCAGTAGAGAGAAATCAAGGAAGACTTCTCAGAGAAGAGGGTACTGAATTAGAGTACAAGATGGCTGTGTATTTCACAAAGGTGGAGGGGAGATAACTCCCAATGGAGGAAAGGCAAGCACAAGCCAGAAAAGTTGTACAAATAAAGAATTCTGAGGGGTGGGCTGAGAAAGTTCCAGTAGAAAGACAGGATTTGGAGAACAGTGGGAAGGAGAGAGAGGGAGTCAGAAAGGAAGACGATTCTGAAGTTTGCAGCAGCCGTGACTGGAAGACTAATGATGCCATTATTAGACACAGGGATGTCAGGAAGAAGAGCTAGCTTTGCAAGCGTGATTAATAGTAGTGAAGAGACGCAGTCAGACATCAGGAAGAACTTCCTGACCCTGAGGGATGTGAGACAATGAAGAAGATTGTGGAGTCTCCTGGGAATCTTCCATAGAGGAGAATGTGAAATATGCCTAGCTCCAAGCTCACCCTGGGAACTGAACTGGAGTGGCTACTGGTTATCTTGCCTGGAGAGAGACTGGGGTGACCTCACAGATATCAGCTGCCTGGCTCTATGACAATTCTTCTCTTCCACTGCCCTTTTCTGGGGTAACAGAGGGCACTTCAGACCAAGATGGCTGCCTCTTAGGCACTTAGAAAAGCACTCGAAAACATTTCCACACCTTGGATAGAAGCTTTGACAGCCTGGTCCTTGGTCCATGGCACACTCCTCTTCCTAGCCCAGGCAGGACCCAAGTCTGAGATGCAGAGCACCAAAAGCCACTTTGGTAGAACTGCACACAATCCCATTTGGTTGGTTTGCAGTCCTATTAAGCTGGAATCTCACACTGAACTTCCCAATGGTAGATGTTCTCAGTTGCTCTCTGTATCCAGCTTCACATAGGTGAGGGGCTATCAAGAGCTTAACAAACTTCAGTCTCTTTAAAATTGATCCATATTCTCCTAGCTGTGTTCTCAGAGGAGATAAGTCCTTACAGTTGCTCGTCTCCAGACAGACCCTTCTGGCTCCCTGACCCATGTCCTACAGGGCAGCACTGTCTAGTGGAAAGAGCACAGTCTCAAGACCAGAAGGTATACAACCCAGACAAGTGACCCAACTTCTCTATAGAGATCCCTGCTCATTTCAGTGCATAGCAAATGACACAATGCATACAAAACCACTTTATAAACTCTAAAATATCATGCAATGTAATGTCTCATGTGAGGCATTTATTTTGGACTTCTGAATTCCTCAGTGACCAAATAGTAAAGGATATTTTAAAAAATCCAAGTTACTGGAGGGGAAAGATATCTAATTTATGGATTTCCTAAACAACAAAAAAATTCATTATCAACTGATTTATTGCTATATATTATGCTTCACAGCCACATTCCTTCACCCTCTGTCCCCACTATTTTGGCACCTCTCTCCAACACAGCCATTTACTCATACTAGACATGATCTAGGGAAAGGAAAAACAAGTGAGGAAGGGATTCATAATCTATCACCCAGTCCTATGGATTCTGCTTCCTAAAAATAAATGTACCCACTTATTTCTGTTACCACCAATCATTGTTGGCTGACTAGCTAAAACTCATTCCTAACCTCCTCCCTTTCCCAGCCTCCCATGTAACTTCAGGCCATGTGATTCAGTTTTGGCTAACGATATATATATACATGAACATATGATGAGACAGGCACTGTGGCACACACCTGTAATCTCAGCTATTCAGGAGACTGACACAGGCGGATCTCAAGTTCAAGGCCAGCTTGGACAACCTAGTAAGGCCCTGTCTTAGGAAAAAAAAAATGAGGCTAGGAATGTAGCTCAGTGGTAGCCCACCACCAAGTTCAATCCCCAGGACTTCAAAACAAAACATAAAAATTAGGTGAGGGTTTCTGGGAAATTGTCTTGCCTTTGTCACAAAAAGGATGGAGCTTGCTAGTGCCATCTTTCCTCCCCTTCTTTTTGGCCAGAATAAAATAACGATGGCCAGAATGAGGGTAGCGATCTTGCCACCGTGAGAGAAAGCCCTCGGCAACGGCAGGGATGTTAGTCCTGGCACCAAGGAACCAGGAAGCAACACAAGCGGTTGCCTTTCCCCAGGCCTGCTGTGATAGGGAATGAACTCTATTTTAAACCTCCCTGGGCCAGATTTTCTGCATGTGCAGCAGAAAGCGCTACGAACGAATCCAGCTACACCTCTGAACATCACCTTCTGCCTGTACATCTGCAAAAGTCTCCCAACTGGTCTCCATGTTTCAGCTCTTACCCTACTCCAACCCAAATGATCATCTGAAAACGCTAATCTGATCATGTGGCTTCTCTGCTTTAAATTCTTCACTGGCTTACTGATGATGCTTAGGACAAAGCACCTTCACCTGTCTGACCAGGCCAGCACGGCGTGTCCCTTCCTGCTTTCCGACATCCTCTCACCACATGCCCCCTCCTTGCTCTCTCTGCTTCAGCCATGCCAGTCTTTTTTCAGTTCCATGATCCTTCACATCATGGGGCCTATTCCCACTGTCCCCAATGCTTTTCCGGCCCACCTCTGCCTTGCTGCCTCCTGCATTCCCTTCAGATCTCAGCCCAGTGGTTGCTTCCTCGGGGAAGCTTTCTCTGGCCTCCCTGAGTAGGTCAGATCCCCCTGCTGTTTGCTCTCAAGGCACCACGGACCTGGCTCTTACATCGTTACCATTTTAAATTTGTGTGATTCCGAGATCACCTGTCTCTCCCGCTAGAATGTAAGTTCCGCGCAGGAATCTTGTCCGTCTCAGTCGCTGTGTTCTCCCCCCCTAGCACAGTGCCTGGCACGTGGCAGGTGCTTGTTGAGAGACTTTTTAGAGCCTACAAAGAACAACAGCCTTTCATTTGTGATATTTTATCTGATTCCCAAAACCATTTCAAGAGATGGAGATTATCCCCACCCCTCCCAATTTATAGAAAAAGAAAATGAGACTTTGAGAAGCTAATTAACCATCCTAAAGTCACACTGAAAGCCGGTAGCAAAGCCAGAAGTCAAACCCAGCGCTGCCTAATTCCAAAGCCTTAACTTTTCCACTGTCTGTGCTGTTAGCCCAGAGAAGTCACTTACCCAATGCCATTCTGAAGGAAATACAGCAACAAAAGTGCATTTGGATGTTTTTGCTTTTGTTTAGCAAACAAACCAATCAAAAGACCTCACCTATATCACACACTCCAGAGCAAACCAGTGCATGATTTAACCTTTTCCCCTGCGTGGCGAGAACGTGAGTTTATGCCAAGACCAAAGTCAGACGAGCACAGAATAAAAGAAGCTCTCTGAAGCCCTGTGGTAACTCTGGGTGCTGCCATTATTTTCCCCACTTTACTGCACTAAGTCATCTCTCCACTATCCCAGGACACAAGGAGCTGCCCAGATGATGAACCTCTGGGCCGGGAAAGCAGCCACTTCTGCAAGTCGCTTGTGGCTGGCTGGGAAGTGGGAAGTGAAGGAGTCTGGGAGGGTGCCGTGTGTGACAAATTCTTCTCTGATAGAGCTTGAATCTATCTGGGAATGGAAGAAGTGGCACAGATGCCGTCACCAAGAAATTACCCAATTTAGCACCAACTACACAATCCAGCAATTAGTTTCTTAAACCGGAACTTGCTGGGGGCTGCCAGGCTGGCGGGGTTGTTGTTACAAATCTCACTGGGAAACCAGCTGTGTAATTCTCCAGGGAGGTTGTCACTGCCCCAAGCAATTACCTTCCAGAAAAAGAATGGAAAATGGGGGAAGGAAAAGGGATACAGAGGAAGGAGTCAGTGTTTTCTCTCCCTAGCCCCCAGGGCTCTGCCCAGCCAAATCAGTTGATTTTCTTGAGACCTAGGTGACTCACAAACTCACTGGATCAAAGCGGTTATTGGTGTGGACTGTGTCTTCAGACTATCTGGGTTCAAATCCCTCTCCACTCACTTACTAGCTGTGTGTACTTGGGCAGGTGATTCACCTCTCTTAAACTATTTCCTCACCTGCAAAATGGGGATTGTATGAGAGCCATCATAAAGGTACTAATGATGTAAGGGATAATAAAGGAAAGCATATAATTCCCTTAGCACTCTACCTAGCACATGGTAAAAACCCAATAAAGGTAGATACTGTTATTTGTGGTTTTGCTTTTATTACTTCCTCCATTGGCTTACAGTGTGACCTTAGGTAGGTCACTTAATCTCTTTGTGACAACCATCTAAGGCCAAAGGTATTCTGCTGTGGAAAAGATAAGTTGTTCCTAAGATAGTCCATATCTAGGGACCCAGGGATCCAGGTGCGTTTAACAAAGTGTCTCAGAGGTTGACAAAGTGACACCTTGGGCAAAGACGAAGATTTCGATTACTGAATATTAGCTGACTCACCCCTTCCTCGGGGAGCCTCTGGGAGAGTGACAAGCTTGACGTGATTGTTCAGCAAAAGGGTACAGCTGCTGTCTCACTGGGGGTCTGTCCTACCCGATCCCATCACAGGGAGCCCATGAGGTCATCCCCACACCAGTTCCAGTATTAGAGCAGAACTTAGAGCAAGTGAGGCCTAGAATTTATTTTGATGCTACAAGCCTGGGCTCTTCCGTGCCTGTGAGTGAGCCACGTGTGCCCAGGGACCCCAAAGCTTCAGGCTTCGCCTATCTCCCACATTTCCTTGGGCTGACCTAACCAATATGGCCAGGATTCTGTCTCAGTTTTCCTGTACAGCCCTTTCCCAATCCCTGACTGGCCTGCAGCTTGGATTGCAGGGGCCATGTGCCCATGCAGAATAAGCTAGCCACTGGAAGCCTAACACAGAGCCCCTGACCTGGCTATTCATCTTTGCCCACAGAGGCCTCTCCTTTCACCTACCTCTGCCTGAGCCCCCTGGCCAGTGTGACACTGGCTTTACCCGGATGACTGTGGTAGGATCTCTGTAGCTGCTGGTCTGGCGCCCTTGTCCGTGCTTCCCTCAACCCCTCGACCCGTCCCATGGCTAAAGACCCCAGCCCTTAGGACTCCAAGGAAAACCCTTCTTCTCCTATCCTCCCTGCCCCAGAAAGTGGAGAAAGAAGAAGGAGGAACAGAATGGAAGGAGAGAGGTTTGCAGTCTTATTCACTCACCTTCACTTCTGTATTTCATCAACTCTTCCTGGGGGCATAGGGCAGGAATTTCATAGAAAATGGGTTTACTGCTCCAAAACACTCAAGACATGTAGGCAGATCTGAGTCTAAATGCATCTCCTGACCCACTGGATGGCGTTCAGCCTGTGAATAACCCACACTACCTATAATCTCTTTGAAAATCCCACCTCAGGGGGCTTTGCACTTGATGTTCTCTCTGCTGGAACACTCTGTCCCAGATATTCCCATGGCTTCCTCTGTCTCATTTTTTGGGGCTCAGCTCAGAGAGGCCTTCTCTGACCACTCGCTCTAACTAAAGTTCAGCCACATCCCCCATGTCGTTCTACATCACCCTGTTTTATTATCCTCATGGAACTTATTGCTCCTTGATATTATTTTCTCCATTCATTACACATGTAGAGTGTGTCTTACCATGGTAGAACCTAAGTTCCAGAAGGGCAGGAACTGTATCTGTCTCATGCACTGCAGTATCCTGAGCATCTAGAACAATGCCTGGCACTAATGGGTGCTCAAAAAAATATCTATTGCATGAATAAGTGTCTTCCCTTTCTGCCTCACCCACCTTCTGGTGCCCACAGAAAGAACCTCCACACCTTTCCTTCAAAAGGCTTTGGAACAGTGCTGGGGTGTGGCTCAATGGTAGAGTGCTTGCCTAGCATGCGTGAGGCTCTGGGTTCAATACCCAGCATTGCAAAAAAAAAAAAAAGGCTTTGGAACAATCTTCAAAATTTGGTATTAGAAATTCTGCCTCTGAACCCAGCCCTGCTCATCCTGTTTGCCCAGGTCTACCCTAAGATGTGCCCTTTTGCACAGGGAAGGTAGTAGAGAAGGAGTAAGAAGAAAAAAAAGAAAACATCCCAATGTTTCATGGCAAGAATAGGCTGTAAGGAGGGCTCTCATGGATGAGCTGTATGTAGGAGTAAGACTCGGGGTTCACCCTCCAGCCCCAAGTAGGTCCCCTCACTCTAACTTGCTGGGTCCCAGAGCTCCTTCTTCAGTTGGACCATGTAATCAAGAGACCCCAAAAGCAGAGTTTGAACTTCATCCTCCTTCTCCAGGGCTGCCAAAGGCCCACTAAGACATAATTCATCTTGATCAGCTTCACCCATCATGGCCAACATTTCCAGCCTGTTCTCAGCCATCTCCTCCATCTTGTCAGCTAAACTGATTCTCCGCTATGCTGCCCTGCCATGTCCATTCTCCCCCTCTTGAAGGTCTCCAGGAGCCTCCATCTGTAAAGAAGGAAGACTCCCAGGACCAGAACTCCTAAGAGATCCTGGCCAGGAACAACTGGTGAGAGAGACTATGAGTTCCAGGCCTGGAACCAAACTTTAGGGTTCGTAGCCCAGGTCTGCCAGTTACTAAACATGTAACCTTAAGGAAGTCCCTTCGTCTCTCTCAAGGTCACTTTCCCCATTTTCAAATGGGAATAAAAATAGTCACTTTTTTTTACTGTGATGCCATAAGAATAAAGATAATACAGATGAAATGTCCCATACTTTGCTGAAGGGTAGCTATTGATAATGAAAGAAAAACAATTTAACTGTATGGGAATTAGACACAAGGTTTTGCTTTTTGTGGGTTTGTTTTTGTTTTTACCGGGGATTGAACCCAGGGATGCTTTACCACTGAACTACATCCCCAGTCCTTTTTACTTTTTTATTTTGAGTCAGGGTCTCACTAAGTTGTCCAGCCTGGCCTCAAACTTGCCATCCTCATGCCTCAGGCTCCCGAGTTGTTGTGATGACTGCCATGAGCCACCACACCCAGCTGAGACCTCTAGGAGGATGTCTCAGACAGCCCTGGGCTGAGGTTGTGGCCAAATGAGAGGTTTGGATCAGAAATGGACACTCTGAAAACTCATTTGTTTCATGCATTGAAGAATCTGTTTGCCTGGAATCTTTCTGAAGACATCCCACATCTTGAACATGCAGGAGACAGCAGGACAGCCCAGGTGGCCAAAGATGGTGTCATCTGAGAGAGCTAGAAGCCCTTGATTCACAGATCCTGCCAAACCCCTGCAGCCAGGGCTGGCAGTTTCTCTTCCAACTCCAGGGATCTGGAAGGGAAAGTTCAGCAACCTCACAGCTTGGGTACTAGAGAGACAATCATCCACCTCCGATCATCTACTGCAGCATACCTGCGTGACCATGAACAACCCTTTCCTCTTTCTGAGCTTCCATTTTCTCATCCATAAAATAGGGAAATTGATGCCTACTTCATTAGGTTGTGGCAACAAGTCAACTGGCATATTTGTCCCCATATATTGGCTACTCCTGACTTTAGTGCCCTAGCACCTTCTTTCATTTGTATGTGATTTGGGCTGGTGCTGCCCTGGCCTTCAGTGTACTGCCTGACCTGATCCTGCAGGGCCACCTGAGAACAACAGGTAGGTGCCCAAGTCCATGACAGGGGTCCACTGGGCATGAGGTGCTTGGCCAGGATCATAACCTTTCCTACCGCCAGCCTAGGTATCTAGTCCCTCTGGGAGGTTCTAAGTTTAGAACTGCCTCCAGGGTTAACACACTGTCCTATAAGCCTTTTTAAAATTTTTCCAGAAAATATAATACAATCATTTCTTAAGTTGTTACATCCTTAGATAAATAGTGACTGACATTCCTTATGAGACTTATTTCTAGACATAGGTTAATAACTCCAAGAAATTCTTCAAATGTTATTCAATTTTGTGTTTTAGTGTCTCTTCTACCAAATGTGGCTTTCTAAGGTTTTAATCCTTCTGTGGCCCTCATAATTTCTGGATACCACAACTCAATGGAAGATTTTGATTTTCATCTGTAGTACATATTTGTACATCGACTCAGTGTTTGAAAAACAGTTCTTCAAATATCTAAATCAGAATCATCTGAGGAAGTCATCAAAAGTACAGTTTTCAGGATACCTCCTAGGCCTGCTCTTCAGAAAAAACAGAAATTGCATATATTTAACATGTGTGTGATATAATATTTTGATATACCTATATACCATGAAGTGGATACCACAATTAAGCTAACATATCCATCATTTTACCAAGTTCCCATTTTTTTATATATATATATATTTCTTTCCCTATAAGCCTTTTGTGTGAGCTGTGTCAGGGACTTCCAGCGCAAGGCCTGTCCCCTCCTTCTGAGACTCCCCTATAGGGAAATCAAGCACAGGGCTGTTCCCCCAGGGTCCCTTGAAGGTCCTTTTGTTGGCTGACAGCAGGGTTCTAATCTTGGCACTACCTGAAACTGCCAGACCCTGCCCCAGCCTCAGGGTTGTCTGAGCCCTTGCTCCTCTCTCTAAATTTCCAGGCTTAGAAGGACAGAAGAGAGTGGGCATCTGGGGAGAGAACAGGAGGGTATGTGAGGAGAGGAAGCAGTATAGACTGTAGTGCCACATAGAAGACCTGTCCCTTTCAATTTCACCCTCTTCTAAAAAGCCTTCCGTAGGAGT